GTAGGAGACAAGTACCCGAAAAAGGGGGTGCATGTAGCCTGTAGCCTGGGGAACAACTACAGTCTGCTCAGAAAGAAAAGATACTTCTCATTGGAAAGCTCTCCAAGGGCCAAGTTGGTGCTGCTCGGGGAATCCCCTGCCACTTTCCTCTGGAGGCCATGTGGTTTCCCCACAGTTGTGTGTCCTACTGACAGCAGGGTGTGTATGGCTCTGGGGCCTCAGCCCAGTGAGAGATTAGAGGCACTCGGCTGTGTGCTCTCCCTGTGTGTGCCAGGGATGCCCACCTGCCCGCTGTGCCCTCCTCTTGCCCCCTGCTGATGGGTTCCTTCCCTCCGGTGGTGCCTTGTGCTTTTCCCCGTTGTTCCTGGTGAAGACTCACCTTCTTCATAGCTCTCCTCCCTCCTCATTTATTCCACAACCTGCCCTCCCATAAAGTGCCTGCAGCTCCCGCCAGCTGCTGTCTCGTCCCCATTTTCTTCAGTTACAGGAGGATCTCACTGGCCACCTGACATGTCACTGTCACCCTGGGACCCTGGTCAGCTACTGGCTCCTCTCTGGATCACATGCTTTGCTCAGGAGCCTGACAAGGTATAAGCACCTCTGACTCTGGCTGAAGTAGAAGAAAGTCCAGAGGTGACAAAGAATGAAATCATTTCTGGCTGAGGTTGCAGGGCTGTGGTCAAAGTTGCAGCCCATGACACTGGGGGACACCTAACCAACCTCCCCCACATTAGTGAGTGTGTGCCCGACTTGCTGTTCAGCCCATCATTCTGGCCACATCATTCTGGACTCAGAACTGCTTTGAAAGCTATGTCAGGAATGGTTGCATCCACACTGACCAAGTGCATTTTCATGAGCAGCTTCACCTAAATACATTCTTCTACCTGTGGTGTGATGACCCTTTCTCCTCGGAGAGAAATCGCTCATTTGCCTTATTAACAGCAATTAACAGCAACTGTGCTTTTCATGGGCAAGTGGTCTGTGAGTGTCTTCAGACATAATGAATCATATCATTCACCCTATTTCTGTCTGTATTGCCTATTATTAGGTCACAGCCATCTACTGTTGAGTTTCCATGGCTTTATCAAATGGGTTGTATTGGCCATATTTCACTTCCTTTTTTCTTCATCCTAATTTCTAAGTTATTTTCTCTATGCATATTTTTGTCAGACATATCAAATTTGTGAAATAAGGTGGAGTCTAAGTACCTTTAAAAACAAAAACTACTGAAGACAGCAGAGTAGTACCGTGTAGCACTTGGTATAAGTGTCTAGATCGACCAGTTCCTGCCTCCACAGCAGCAGTGATCGCTGAGCAAAGAGCACCTAGGGTAGTTGCCCAAGCTGCCGAATATCAAAATCTTCAGCGGCAGCTCCCACTGGGATTTGTCCCAGAAGACTGCTGACTGCTTGGGCCTGGAGCTGGCCAAGGTGGTGACCAAGAAATTTAGCAACCAGGAGCCATGTGGAAATTGGTGAGAGTGTGGGTGGGGAGGATGTTTGCATTGCTCAGAGTGGTTGTGGTGAAATCAGTGATGACCATCTAGCAGAGCTTTTGACTGTGATTAATACCTGCAAGATTGCCTCAGCCAGCCAGCTCACTGCAGTTATCCTGTGCTTCCCTTCTGCCCTGCAGGATAAGAAGGATGAGACCCGAGCTCCAGTCTCGGCCAAACTTGTTGCAAATATGCTCTCTGTAGCAGGTGCAGACTATATTATCACCATGGAGCTACCTGCTTCTCAGATTCAGGGCTTTTTTGTTTTGTTTTGTTTTGTTTTTGTTTTTTTGGTACCGGGGATCGAACTTGGGTCCTTGCGCTTGCGAGGCAGCCGGCGGCACCACTGAGCTAAATCCCCGGCCCCATGGGGCTTTTTTGGTATCCCAGTGGATAATTTGTATGCAGAGCCAGCTGTCCTGAAGTGGATTAGGGACAGTATCTCCGTGTGGAGAAACTGTACAATTGTCTCACCTGATGCTTGTGGAGCCAAGAGAGTTACCACCATTGCAGACCGGATGAATGTGGACTTCGCCTTGATTCACCAAACATGGAAGAAGGCCAGTGAAGGCATGGAGCTGGTGGGAGATGTGAAGGATAGGGTAGCTATCCTTGTGGATGGCACCTATGGCACAATCGGCCACGCAGCTGACAAACTTCTCTCAGCTGGCGCTACCAGAGTTTATGCTGTCTTAACTCACAGAATCTTTTCTGGCCCGGCCATTTCTCGAATCAGCACTGCATGCTTTGAAGCAGCAGTAGCCACCAGCACCATACCTCAGGAGGACAAGATGAAGCACTGTTCCAAAATACAGGTGACTGACATCTCCATGATCCTTGCAGAAGCCATCAGGAGAATTCACAATGGAGAATCTGTTTCCTGCCTGTTCAGTCCGGCCCCTTCATAATAGAGTAACTTCCAAAGCTTTTTAAACATAAAATCAAACCACCCCTTGTTTCCCCTTGATATTTGATGACAAATTTGGAAGACCCAGCTTGCTGCACTGTCCCTTTCCACATCCACATTAGGCATATTAGAATTTATCCTAAACTGAGAAAACATAGAGACTGACTGCTGGGATTTCCTACCTGCATTGTCTCACTCTGCCTTCCTTGCTTTTGTAGCCTGGCAGCTTTAACTGCAGCTCGGCTGCTGCAGTATTTCAAACTTTTGAGGTTGTTTAAGGCTGTGGTATGTGACTATGGAAACTCAGACTCCTTTGCATGTGATACTTCAGGGTTGTTCTTTGTTCAGAACAACTGCCAACAGAGGCAGCCCGTGTGTGACAAGTTCTCTAAGTTCTGTCCTAAATTACAGAAACCCTCGGGCAGTCCAAAGCCTAGTCCCAGTAATGCAGGGGCCTGGAAGACAGGAGTAGGCAGCTCAGCTTGAGCAGAACTTGGGTGGGATTGTAAAGGTGGGAAGGGGACAGTCCAGTCCAGAAAATGTTTCTTGGGAGGAAGAAGCCTGACCCATCATCATCTGCTTATCTATATAGTTTAGATTCTCCTTCTACCTATCCCTTTCCATTTGGCTTTACCTACAGCCATTTCAACCTTTTCCTGGCCAAATATCCCCTTGGGCCCAAATGATTTGTGTCCTGTTTTGTCGTCACTAACATTCACATTAGATAATTTGCTGTAGCTTACTTTTCCTTAGCCTGCTACCACCACGGTAGTAGGTTTTAAGTGGCATCATATAGTGCCTTTTGATTAAGTATTTAATTTTCATCTCCCTTCCTTGGATCTGTTTGGCCTCTCATGACCTGAGATTTCTGTTTAAAAAGATTGATGTTATTGTCTCTTATAGAGGAAGCTAATAAAGTATGAGTGTGTGAAAAATAAAAATAAATAAATAAAAACTACCAGTAAATTTGTTCATGCAGTAAATATGAAGTCCTACTTCTGCCATTTTCCTTGACTAAAACACTTCTCCTGCATGGCCGATACTGAGATGTTGAATGCAAATTCAATGGATTTAAAGGTGAAAGTGATGGCCGAGGCCCAAGGTGGTAGATGGGAGTGGGCCCTTGTAGGGCAGGCAGAATGAGACCCCCCAGGTCCTCATGAGCCCCCCAACCACACCCCCTGCCTTGGGATAGGGTCAGACTAAGCCCCAGTAACACAACAGAAATGCGGCTTGTGGGGAAGAGGGCTCAGAGCTGGGGGGCCTCAGTGAGGGTTTCACATGTAAATTTTACAAAGCAAAAAGAGAAAATTAACCCGGAAAATAGACCACAATCACTGTAGAAATGACTAGGGTGTATTGCTCTTGATGTTTGTATTTTAAAATTTCAGAAGTACACTCAATTTTTCTTAAAAAGATATTGCATCGGGCCAGGGATTTAGCTCACTGGTTTCACCACCTGCTGCGCAAGTGCAAGGACCCAAGTTCGATCCCCAGTACCAAAAAAAAGACATTGAATTTGTTCAACATATAAATAATAAACCACAAAAATAACCAGTTATAAACAATAGACAGATTTCTAGTATTTTGCTCTCAAAAAATTTCATTCATAGAAATAAATTCTTGACTATCTGCTTTAAGTGACCTAGTTTTTTCAAGGCTATCAGATAAAACACTGTGGTTTTAATCCGTGTCACTGCAGAGAGAGGAGGGAAGGCAGGGTCCTCTCTCTGGACTGCAGCAGACTCTGGGGAGGCAGGCTGGCTGGGAAGGGAAGGCTGCCTCTGTGCTTGGAACCAAGAAGATGATATTCAGGATTGTTTTTTTCACTGTACACTCTCTATGAAAAGCAGTTAACTCTAACCACCCTACCTCTTTCTAAATCTCCTATTCTCAGGTTCTCATCTACCTGAACGCAACGTTAGGATAAGGACGGAACGGGGCTGGGGATTTAGCTCAGTGGTTCCACCACCTGCCTTGCAAGTGCAAGGTCCCAAGTTCAATCCCTGCTACCAAAAAAAAAAAAAAGAACCAAGGATAAGGAGGGAACACAGATTATCGTAGGTCCAGATTGCAGGAAAACTGTCTCCTCTGCATATAATTTTAATTTTCTTGCCTTTTAAAATAGACTGTCTGGTGTTGAGCACACACACACAAAAAAGAGGAAATAGAAATCTGCTAACAAAACAGCATTATAAGACAAAAATATCAGAGTACCAATACCTTTTTCTTTTGCTTTCATTTTGTTTTGTTTCTTTGAACTGGAGTCTCACTAAATTGCCCAGGCTGGCTTCAAACTCACAGTCCTCCTGCCTCAGCCTCTGGAGTGCTGCGATTACAGCCATGTACTCCCACTAGTTCGAGTATTTCCAGGATCCTGATCTCCATTCCCTCACATAGCTGCATTTATCTCCTTACATGACTGGATGGCACTGTGATCAATGGGCTCACGATCTTCTAGTTTTGATGTAGTGACATTAGCCTGAGTAGCTCTTGTAGAATAATCTCAAATAAGCGGGCTTCATAGTTTGGAAACAGACCCTTTCTCCAGCAGGTGATTCATCGGCTTCTTTCTTTATGTATCTGTGTTCCCAAAAGGATGACATGGAAAAGCTGGGCAGGCTGTTGATGCATGGCCCATTCAGCGTGTGGACCATTCACAAGGACCGTCACAAAGTGAAGGATTTTATTAGATTTAAGCCCAGCCAAAGGCAAATCTACCTATTTGAACGAGGAATTGTGTTCTGTAAGATTCGAATGGAGCCTGGCGACCAGGGGTTATCTCCTCACTACAGCTTTAAGAAGTCTCTGAAGGTAAGGGGGCTGCTGTACCTGGGAGTCACCAAGGCTGGCCTACTCTGTGGGTGAGATTGTTATCTTTATTTTGCAGAGGAGGAAGCCAGAACTTAGGTGAAGTTAATCTGCCAAATACTTCACAATACATCTAGAATACACACCAGGCTGGGTGGACCCAAACTCGGGTCTGTAGTCAGTCCCTGCACAGGGCCACCGCTGGCATCCGGGGCCTTTGTGCTGAGGGGAGAAAAAGCACCCTATGGTGGCCTTTCTGGACAAACTAGTAAAAGACCCTCTCTCTTCTAGGCAAATGGGGAAAGGGAGCCCAAGCTAGATTTCATCTTAGACTTACCCTTCTCAACTGCACTCCCCCAAACTTGGATGATGCTTCTTTCTTTTATTAGTGCATATTTTGAAACTTTTAAAATAGTTATTGTCCATGTTTGCAGTACCTAATGATTACATTCATCTTGGAGGGGTGGTACATACACGATTCATCTTAATTCTTTTTACCTCCCCTTTCCCTCTCTTCTCTTCCCTCCCTCCCCTTCCCATTTGCAAGAGATCTGTCTCCCTGGTTCTTATTATCTGTCTCTTATTTTGCTCCTTAAATGTTTTATTCAACTGCAGGTCTTTGTGTGTGAGTGTAGGCAGCAACCTAACCTTGACCCTGGGGCGCCACAAACCCATGTCCACTCTTTGTCTCCCGCCTGAATAGGAAATGTTCCAGAGGCAGCTAGCTATCGCGCGCACGCACGCACACGCACACACGCACACGCGCACACACGTGCACCCACGCATGCGTGCGCGCTCTTGTGACTGACTCTGTTGCATTTGTAGTTGTGTTCGTTTATATATCTCAGTGGACATTCATTCATTTACTCTTAAGAGATGTGTACATCGGCGTTAGTTCAGTCTAATGGTTAAGAGCCACACGGAACCACAGTCTGCTTCCTTCCGAAACATGACAAGACAGAGCAGGCTGCGCCAGGCTGTGCTTTCTGCCGCCTCAGGCCATTATCAGGGAAAGCAAAACCCTCCGAAGGGAGATGCAAGAGGCTCTCCAGGGTAGCGAGGGTGAGAGTGGCTGACAGTTCTAACATCGGAAAACGGCGGCATAGAACATTTCTCTTCTTTCTTTGCAATAGTTGGTGACACTTTCAATTCGCCAACTTGGAAGGGGAAGCAATAAAAAGCTGGAAATCGCCAACCGAAACGGACTGGAGAAATACATCCTGCAGGTAAAGCCCGCGCTCCCAGTCGGCGTCCTCTCCTCGTTCCCCGTTCCCCGTTCCCCGTTCCCCGTTCCCCGTGTTCCTGTAATTTGACGAGGAAATTCCGTCTCATTGTTCTGAAGGTCACTCAGGGAATAAAAGCCCTGGCCAACTAGTAGTAATCAAGGTGATTCGATTCTCATAATATTTCCTTATCTGTAACTGCAGGCACCTTCAAAAGAAATCAGAGATTGTTGGTTTTCAGAAATAAGTAAATTATTGATGGAACAACAGAACGATATTAAAGGTAGGTTACTGCTGCTGACTTCAGTCTGAAAAGTTACACTGGTTCCAGTTTCATGGTGGTGTGTGTGTTGGAGGTGCATTAAAGAATAGTTTGCCAGGAAAAATAACACCTGTGCTTGCTTTATATGGAGTGTGTGTGTGTGTGTGTGTTTGTGTTTGAGTGACTGCATGTGGTTGTGTTGGTCTATACCTTTTAGTCGTATTTCCTACACCCCTAATTGCCAAGCTCAGCTTCTTAATCAAAAATTCAAAGCCATCCAAGAAAATGTTTACAGAGATGCAAATGCCCATATTCCCTTTCAGAAGCTGAAATCATCTTTTCATAAGTTGAGATGGAACACAACATAAAATTCACTCTCGTAAAGCACACAACTCAGTGGGGTTTTCACCTATTCGCAAAGTTGTATAATCATCACCAGTGTAATTCTACTTCTAACTCCAGAACAATTTTGTGCTCCCCTCTGAAAACTCCTGTACCAGTTAGCAGTCATCCCTATCTTTCCCCTTCTCCCTCTAGCCACCACTCTTCTCCTTTTTGTCTCCACTGGATTTACTTATTCTAGACATTTTATGTAAATGGGATCCAATAAAATGTTCTTTCTATCTAACGCTTTCACTTAGCATAATTTTTCAAGTGTCACCCTTGTTCCGCATGTGTTGATGGGCCATTCCTTGTTATGGGTAAATTAAAGTCCAGTGTACGGATGGACCATTGTTTTACTCTATTTTGTGCTGCTATAGCAGAATGCCATAGACTGGGCTATTAATAATGTGGAGCAATGTACTGGCTCCCAGCTCCAGCAATTGGGAAGCCCAGGATTGGGGCTGCATTTACTGAGGGTCTTCTCTGCATCATCTCATGGAAGAAAGGAGAAGGGGAAGAGAGGGAGGAGGGGAAGAGAGGAGAGAGAAAGAAGGAGAGCTCTGCACACGTGTGGGCCTGCAAGAAGGCACCAGACTCATCCTTTTATAAGGAGCCCACTCCTGTGATAACAAACCTGCTCCCACAGTAATGGCGGCACAAATCCATCCAGGAGCCAGACATCTCCCATTGGGGATCAGGTTTCCAATACACGAACACTGGAGGATATATTCAAATTAGAGTATCCATATTTGTTGATTCATTCATGGATTGATGAACATTTGGGTTGTTTCCATTTTTTGGATATTGTAAATAATGGTGCTATAGATATTTGCATACAAGTTTTTGTGTGAATCTTTTTTTTTTTTTTTTTGGTACCGGGGATCAAACTCAGGACCTAGGGCTTGCAAGGCAGGTGCTGGAACCACTGAGCTAAATCCCCGGCCTTGTGTGAATCTTTATTTCTAATTTTCTTGGGTATTAAGTGGAGTTGCTGGACCCTATGGTAACTCTAGCTAATGTTCTGAGGAACTTCTAAATTGTTTTCCCAAGCAGTAGCACCATTTCAACTTCACGTCAGCAATGTATGCAGGTTCCAATTTCTCTGCTTCCTCACTGACACTTATTATTGTCTATTATTGACATTATTATTTATTGCCACCCAGAAGGTATGAGGTGACACCTCACCATAGTGTTGACTTGCATTTCCCTCACGACCAGCGATGTTGAGCCTCTTTTCATAACTGGGAAAACATCTGTGTCCTTTGCATTTTTTTAATTTTTCTTTTTTTTTATTACCACATGTTTGCAGTACATAATGATTACAATCATCATGGGGAGTTGGTACATGTGCATAAATTAGTGTGTTTTTTATAGTTGACTTATAAGAGATATTTATATATTCTGAATACTAGAACTCTTGTCAAATATAATTTGTTTTTGTTTTTGTTTTTGTGGTACCAGGGATCAAACTCAGGTCCTTGTCCTTGCGCAGCAGGTGGTGAAACCACTGAGCTAAATCCCTGGCCCTTGTCAAATATAATTTGCAAGTATTTTTTTCCCAATTCATGCATTGTTTTCACTTTTAGTGACCTTTGAAGCACAAAAGTTTTTTATTTTGACAAAGTCTAATTTGTCTATTTTTTCTTGGGCTGGGGATTTAGCTCAGTGGTTCTGCTGCCAGCCTCGAAAGCTCAAGGACCCGAGTTCAATCCCCGATACCAAAAAAAAAAAAATTCTGCAGCTTTATTTTTTCTTTTGGTTTCTTGTGCTTTGGATATCTAAAAAAGTCATTGCCTGGGCCAGGGATTTCGCTCAGTGGTTCCACCTGCCTCACAAGCGCAAGGTCCTGAGTTCCATCCCTGGTACCAAAATAAATAAATAAATAAATAAATAATTAAAAATCGTTCCCTAATCCAAGGTCATGAAGATTTACAACCCTACTTTCTTCTAATAATATATGGTGTTAACTTTTATAATTAGATCTTTGTTGCTGGAGATTTAGCTTAGTGGTGCTGCCGCCTGCCTCACAAGCGCAAGGTTCTGAGTTCGATGCTGGAACCAAAAAAAAATCTTTGATGCATTTTGACTCGATTGTTGAAGGCTATTTTCACCACCATTGTAGATTGTTGGTTTCCAAGGCTGCCCCCTAAAAAGGAGGGGAGGTTAGAAACAGGACAAATTAAAATACCACAAAATTCACTGCTCATCCTGATAATAAGCCAGTTTTCCTGAATAAATGCCGTCCAGATTGCTGTCAGCCTTTAATTTCCAGTGTTTTGAGAAAAAAAAAAAATTTCTTTCTGACAATTTTCCCATGCTTTCATGGAAAAGGGACTTTTTATGTGTCTTTTTCTCCACCATTTCCACTGATGTCCTTCACTTTTTATAATTAAAAATCATCTTTGAATAGGATTTTCCCTTTCACATTTAGTGTTTTTGCTTTTAAATTGATCCTCATAACAGGGATATTTGGTGGGAAAATTCACACCCAGCTTCGTCCGTGAGTTTTGGCTTTCCCCGTAGGTAGGCAAGGTCACCAGGGTAAGAAATGCCCATCTCATGTGAAAGTCTATCTCCTATTATTTATATTGTCAATGATTTGTGTGTTTGGTAAGAAAAATTGCACAATGATGAAAAGAGAAATTTGGCCATGAGAAACTTGGCAGGAATGTAGCATTTGCCACTGTTCCTGTATCTCTTCTGATATCCGCTATTCCAGAGGACGCAGTCGTGGGTTCTTCCACCTCTTTCAAATTGACAGAAGAAAAACTAAGAGGCATGACTGGAAGACTCCAGCACCAATTTTCTTTTTTTTGTTGTTTTTTTTTTGTTTTGGTACTGAGGATCGAACTCGGGTCTTTGCACTTGCATAGCAGGTGGCGAAACCACTGAGCTAAATCCCCGGCCCTAGCACCCATTTTCTATCACAATAACCAAGTAACAAAAGGATTTTCTTTAAACTATAGGCCTCTTCCAGGATAGTATAATAAGATTATCTAGTTGATTTTAATTTGTAAAGGTAAGATGAGAAAAAACTGATTTACTTTTGCTTTTCACTATTAGTACTGTGTGAAAAAGAAAAAAAAAAGTAGTGTGTGAAATATATGTTATGGTAATTGAGTATGTGTGCCCTCCAGACTTAAAATAGGAAAATATAGCATCTCTATTTTTTTTTTCTGGTACCAGGGATCAAACTCAGGACCTTGCACTTACCAGGCAGGTGCGACACCACTGAGCTACATCCCCGGGGCCAATATGGCATCTCTACCAGAAAAAGTTATTTGGAATGACATTCCAGTCTCAAAATTGTTCTAGCAATCCTTACTCCCTACACCAGCCTTTCTCTAAGTGTGGTTTAGGGACAAGAAGGACTTGAAGGGCTTCCAACAAATGGAGATTTCTGGGCCTCACTCCAGAACCATGGCATTAACATAGCTAGGATATGTATTTTGGCTAATTAAATTTTCTAGATGGGGAACTTATATTACAACTTTTAAAACAGCTTTATTGAGGAATAATGACAAAATAAAATGTACATATTTAAAGTGTACATCTTGGTAACTTTCGTGTGTGTGGTGGGGATGGCGGATCTGGGGATTGAACCCAGGCCCTCACACTTTCTGTGTCTCCAGCCCCTTTCAATATCTGGACACAACTGTGAAAATGTCACCGCACACGAGATGCTGAACTTGTCTATCACCCAACATCCCCTCACACCACTCCACATTTCCTCCCCTGCCCCTCCCTCACCTATCCCAGGTGATCACAGAGCTACTTTCTTTTTTTTTTTGGTACCAGGGATCAAACTCGGGACCTTGCACTTTCGAGGCAGGTGCTGGAACCACTGAGTAAATCCCCGGCCCCACAGAGCTACTTTCTGTCACTATAGATTAGTTTACGTTCTCTAGAATTCTATAAAGACCATGTTATACATATATATTTTTAAATCTCAGTTCTGTCACTCAGAATAACTGTGACGAGATTCATGTATGTTGCTTTGTATGACAAAAGTGCATTCCTTTTTGTTTTCAAGTAGTATACCATCATTTGGTTATTTCCCAGTTTCTTTATTCATTTACCTGTTAATAAGCATTTAGTTTGTTCCACTTTTTGCTTATTTTGAGTAATACTGCTATGAAGATTCAAGTGCAATCTTGTGTGGATGTGTGTTTTCATTATTCATGGGTAAATACCTTAAGAATGTGATGGTTAGGCTATTCAATAAGTGTATAGCTTATTTTTTAACTTTTAAAAAAATTGCTATTTTCCAAAGTGGCTAAGCCATCTTATATTCCCACAGCAGTGTATGAGAGTGGAACTTGGCATTGTCAGTCTTTTTAATTTTCAGCCTCCTAATTAGTGTAAAACAGTATATCATCAAGGTTTTCATTTGCTTTTCCCTTGTGACTAATGGTTAAGTACTTTTCATGTGCTTCTTTCCCATCTGTGTGTCTTCTTTGATGAAGTATCTGTTCACATCTTTTGCTCATTGTTTTCTTATTATTACGTTTTGAGAATTTTTAAAAAATATCTCCTAGGGGCCCAGGGATTTAGCTCAGTGGTTTCGCCGCCTGCTGCGCAAGCGCAAGGACCCAAGTTCAATCCCCGGTACCAAAAAAAGAAAATATCTCCTAGGTACACATCCTTCATCAGATAAATGCTTTGCGAGAATTTTCTTTCAGTGTTTGGCCTATCTTTTCATTCTCTTTAAAGGAGCTTTGAGGGCCGGGGATTTAGCTCAATGGTTCCGCCGCCTGCCTTGCGAGCACAAGGTCCCGAGTTTGATCCCCAGTACCAAAAAACAAAAAAACCAAAAAAAAGGAGCTTTTGAAGAGCAAGAGATTTTAATTTTAATAAAACCCAATCTTGTATGGATTGTAAAAGAAAATTGACAGCAGTGACTCCATTTCATGACTTGGACTCCATCTTGTGTTGTGGTGGCCACTCTATGCACTTGCTGACGTGTTGAAAGAAAGTTATTTGCTGAGAAGGAACATCCTAAAACTGTGTATACTATACTCCTTCCTAGAACAATGGTTTGGACTGTGCTGATCTTTACTGAACCAATGAACTATAGAAGTAAGTTTATCCTCCACTCATGATTCTTAAACTTCTTTTTTACCCTTCAAATGACTCTCAGAAGCTCTCCCTAATGGGATACATTCTGGTTTCTTCTGGATTCTGTGCTCCCTGAATGGCAATTCTAAAAGCCCAGATAAATGACTTTTTGCTTAACAGACTTGATTGTCTGAGCCCCTTCAGATGATGGAATCATGCTTTCAGTGTCATATCTAGTGTCTCTTTGTCTAAAGGCCACAGATGTTTTCTTCTGTATCTTCTGGAAGTTTTATAGTTTAGATTTTGCATTTGGGTCTTTAATCCATTTCGAGGGCTTTTGTTTGTTTCTGTTTTTGTTTTTATTTTGTACATGGTGTGAAATATGGATTGAAGTTCAGGTTTTCTTCCATATTGATGTCTTGTTGGCCCATTACCATCTTGTGAAAGACTATTCTTTCTCCAATTGCCTATATATATATAAGTGCATCTATTTTCCAATGTCCTATCCTGTTCCAATAATCTGTTACCTAGCTTGACATTGATACCTCACTATGTTGATTACTATAGCTTAATGGTCAGTCTTAAAATAAGGTCATTAGAGTCCTCCAATCTTGTTCTTCCTTTTAAAATTGTTTTGTTACTCTATGTCCTTTACATTTCCATATACAGTTGTCCCTTGGCATCTATGAGGATGGGTTCTAGGACTCCCAAGAGATACTAAAACCCATGTGTGGTTGTCCTTTATATAAAATGACCATTGCATTTGCGTTTAACCTAGGCCCTCCTTTTTTTTTCTTGCAGTCCTAGAGATCAAACCCAGGGCCTTGTGTGTGATAGGCATGCAACTCACCATTAAGTTACAGCCCAGCCCACACACATCCTCTTGTATACTTTAAATCATCTCTAGATTACCTGCAACACCTAATACAGCATAAACACTATTTACATAGTGTTTTATATATATACTCTTTAGGAAATAATAAGAAAAAATCTACAGGTGTAGGTTTTTCCCATATATTTTCCACTCACAGTTGGCTAAATACATGAGTACAAGACATAAATACAGAGGGCCAACTATGTATTTTAGAATAAGCTTATCAATTTCTGGGGGGAAAGGAAGCTTGTTGGAGATTTGATTGGACTTGTATAAGATCTGTACATCAATTTGGTAACCTATAGATCAATTGACTCTTTTACAATATCAAGTTTTTTACAAGATCTATTGATTTTTTTATAGTACCAAATTTAAACCAGGTGTAGTGGTGCACACCTGTAATCCTAGCACTTGGGAGGCTGAGGTAGGAAGATTGCCAAAAGTCTGAGGCTAGCCTGGACTACATAGTGAGTTCAAGACCACCCTGAACTACATAGCAAGAACCTGTCTGGGGGGGAAAAAAAAGAGGCAAATTTAAATCTACAATTTAAATTTTAACTGAATCTTCCTGACCTGAACTATGGAGAAAGGCACACATTTGTTAGGAGGGTGTGACATGTATTCAGCTAACACTTCAGAAACACACTATCCAAGCCCTCTATAAGGCCTCATACTATGCTCTCCAGGTTGTAAGCGGAATGTAAAATCTAGATAAGAAACAGAACCAGACCCCACCATACAGTTTAGATAAAAAGAACAACCTTACTGAGAGGAAAACAGGCCTACCGGCTCCCTAATGCTGTCCTTTTACAGATACTCAAATAGGGTCAATTCCACACAATTTATCACAGCAAAGCCAGGTCCCTGAGTCTGGTGCCCCAAAAAAGGTCTGATAAAACATCACCATGAATGATGCAAACAGCCAGGGCTCTAAGGACTCGGAGCCCTCGGTGGACTGTATGAGACAGCCAGGCCAACACCCTGGGGAGACTCAGGGCACAGTGTAGGCTCCAGGGTGGCCTGGAAGTGGGTGCGGCAGTGGTCCCAGGCACCAAGATCAGGAATGTCAGGAACGCCAGCACCTGACGTCTGTCCAGCACTTTACAAAGCTCTAACATACAAATATTCTCACCCCAGTTCATTCTTACACCATTCTCCTCCACCTTTCCACTGGGGGTTGGGCGTAATATTCTGCACGCTGGGCAAGTCCCAGATAGGAACATGGGCGAGAGGACGCTGCAAGCCGTGATGTATGGAGACCCAAGGGGTGAGGTGCCCAGAGGGTCTGACGGGAAAAGAGAACCGGACAGTAAAGGAAAGGAGGAACACAGCGCCTCCCCGAGGAGGGAGGTGGACACTGCGGCCTGGGACAGCCCTGTGTGGCCTGAAAGCCTGCTGCTGAGAGTGATGATCGCAAGGCCCTGGGGAAGCATCAGGCCGGCCAGGGAAGGGCCCCCGGGGCCGGCAGTGTCACAAAGGCCGCACCCTCCGTAGGAATCAGGGCAAGGGCCCAGTCCTGGCCCAAATCAAGGCTTGGGCAACACAACCGGTCACCTGGGCAATAAAAGGAGCCCCAGGAACTGCTGAAGATGATAAAGCTGCCTCAAGGGAGCAGATTCGGCCGTGATGTGGAGCCCGGGCGGGAGATTCATGAAGAGAATGGAAAGAAATAAAACGGAGCGGGAGGGCAGGGGATTTAGCTCAGTGGTTCCGTGGACACCAGCAACACCACCCCCGTACCAAAAAAGGAGGGGAAAGTAGGCCTCAAGTGCCTGGCGGAGTCTGGTTTCTCGGCTGTTTCGGGAATGAGGAGCCGCTGGAGTTGCTCCTGCCCTTAACGCCTGGGTGACATCTGCGTCAGGAATGTGATTCTCGCCACTGCCCGAGAGTCGTCATCTGCCCCTCACCTTGTCACAGAGTTGGGCATTTAATAGGCGGTGTGTTTGTTCCTTAATTCCGTGCTAACGGAGCTATCAGAATTGGCTGGACCCAGAGTCCAGGAAGGCAGGGACCCCAAAAGGGCGGGCGGGGGGAGCCAGACAGGCTGCCAGGCAGGGACTTCTTCTGAATTACTAGGAAAGAAGACCGCGATCAGCACATTTCCATATGTTTTTACGGTGCTGTCTTTATATGTGTATGCAAATCAGTATGTAAAATCAATTCAAGTTAGCTGAAATTTGAGAGCACTGTTTTGTTTTATTTCAGACAAAGAAAATCTACACTTTGAGGCAACCACTGAGTGAGTACTGATTTTGGGGGGGGGGGTTATTGTTAAGAAAAAAAAGATTTGACGTTGGTCTTACATGATTGGTTTTTTTTCTTTTTTTATATATAACTATTATCATTCACTAAACACACACATATACAAAAATTAAAATTATTCAAAGAAAAACAATGCAAGGGAAAAAACTATAATAATATTCAAATATAATAGAACTCAACCAAAGCAAAACTGAAAAGTACTTAAACATTTTTCCATACAATTTTTAAAAACATCTTAAACATTAACAAGACATCAGAGGATGTGATTTGTTTTAGAAAGATTTTCAAAACTAACATTGAACAAATAGTGGTCTGGAAAAAAATTCTAATTAGCTAGTAGACTCCACATAGGTCAATTTTTTAAATTTAAATTTCAATACAGTCATGTGACACGTGATGGAATTATAATCTGAGAAATATGTTATTAGGCAATTTCAGCCATGTGTATCACAAAGTACCACACAGAGTGCTGACTTCTAAGTGCAAACTGAGAAGCTATACGTCAATCATCTGTGATGGCCCGTTGATATTATCCAAGTATGCAGTTAAACACGAGATACATGAGGCTACCACTGGCATAGCAGGGCACTGTTTTACAGTAAACTCTTTTATATAAGTAGGATTATGCTCTAAAGGATGAAAACCACAGCATGTTATGAGAAGTACCTAAAACAGTAACAGTCATTTATCACACTATCGAGTACCATGTACTGTACATAGTTGTAGGTGCTTCTTCTGGAAACACCCTTCTGTAACCTGATCTCTCCCCTTCCACTCCTGCCGCCCCTACCCCTTTGAACCTCTTCTTCCTATTTCAAATTATCCATTATTCGTTTTAATCATTTTAATCCTTAATTACAGTTTCAGTTTCTCACACGAGAGAAACTATTCAGTATTTACACATATGTGTCCTATTTATTTCACTTAAGAGTACGGCCTCAATATGCATCCATTTAGCAATAAATGTCTCTAGTTTCTCATTCTTCGTGGCTGAGTAGTACTCCATTTTATTTAAAAATGATTGTTTTTATAGTTTTTTTTAACACTTAGCTTATTATAAGTGACTTCCAATTTTTAAATTAATATCAGTTCACTGACTGCACTGCCAGACTGGCAGACTGGATTATCTTTTTTTTTTTTTGGTACCAGGGATAGAACTCGGATCCTTGCGCTTGTGCAACAGGCAGTGAAACCACTGAGCTAAATCCCCAGCCTTGGATTATCTTTTCTAGCGCTTGCTTGCGGTGTTGTGAAACCTCCCTTCGTTCCTCTGGCATCTGGCTTTCTTTCCTTTGTTTTCTTTGTTCCCTTCTTTTCCCTTCTTCTAGCTTTCATAGGACAACCTCCGATTCTGCTTCTGTCACCTGGGGCCGAGCTGCCCTCCCTTCCCCAAGCAGACAGGTGCTCGCTCTGAGGTCAGCCCCCCTCGATCGTCCTCTCCACTCCCCCTTGTCTGGGAGGAAGATGCGCTCACACTTCTTGCATAGTTCAGTCCGCAGTGGTGCTTCTGGCCCTGTCCATTTCTGTCACTTACGGACTCTCTGTCGTCGTCCCTCTCCCTGTCCAGGGCACCTAATATGGGTTTATGGAATAACCCTGTAGACTCTGATCCAGTTGAGGCACAGGAGCCACTTAATTTTCTAGGCTCACCTGGCCTGACCCTAATGGAGACTCCTGGCCCTAACCCAGAGGGAGGACAGCAGTGTGGAGGTGGGTGCAGCTGTAGAAGCCGCCCGAGTTTCCCTCCCTCCTCTTCCCACCCACCATTGTATGGAGCCTACTGCGGGTTTATCAGGCTGCATTCCAACTGTGTGTGCTTAAACGTTTCTCCCTGCTAGACTGTGAATTCCTGGAGGTTGTCTTACTAGTTATAGCTTTCCTTGGGCCTCACGTAGAAGGGCCTGGAACTTGTACAGGTGCTCAGGTAAATGTTTAGAGAATTAAGAAACGAAAGAACTCATTGAATAATCAAATGAGGTTAGCAAACTACTCTGAAAGCTAAGTCAGAGGGTGACAAGCTTTGGTTCAGCACATCTCATTCATCTTGGACCTAGGGCCGGGGATTTAGCTCAGTGGTTCCGGCACCTGCCTCGCAAGCGCAAGTTCCCAAGTTTGATCCCCAGTACCAAAAACACACACACACACACACACACACACACACATCTTGGACCTTATTCCATGAACTAATCCAATCCAAACATCTTGGTACAATTAGATAAGGCCAGGAGAGGGTAACTCAGGTCAACAAAGAGGAGAAGGGAGGTGACTTGAGTCCGTAAAATGGATTTTGAGAAGACAGAGAGGAATTCTTTAAAATGTGTAGCCAGCGCCTGCCTTGCAAGCACAAGGTCCCAAGTTTGATCCCCGGTACCAAAAAAATTTGTAGCCAGTTACCCCTTAACTGTGTAATCCAACAGGTGGTGTCCTTTGAACACTGCCTTCCTGACTGATCCACAGAGGTGGGACAGGTCTTAGACCATAGGCAAGGGATGAGAGAGAAGCTGACCTTTGACTTCAGACCAGAGATGACCTATGTGAGCCAGCGCTGTCCTTGCTGGGAGAGGGAGGGAGGGAGCATGCACCATTCTTTCCAACCACTCAGTGCTCGTGTGTTTCTCTAAAGCAAGGGCCATGCCGTGGAAGGTGCTCCCTGGATTGAGAGTATGGAAGGAGCTACTAGCCAGGAAGACCCAGTCTCCACCATGCATGGGATTCAAGGTAGGACCCAAAGGAGGATGGTCGCCGAAGCGGGGGTGGGGTGACACTTGCTACTTAGACGCTAAAGAAGTCGCCAGAGTTCATAATAAGAGGGGGGAAATGAAAATGTTTAACCATCTGTGTGATACAGAGTCCATTTCCGGCTGTTCGTTTGTGTGGCTCTGATTAGGCCAGGATTCTCACACTGAGAAGTACCTTTCTTTTTGGAAGAGCCATTCTGTTAAGAACAACAGATAGAGGGCCAAGTGCTTGGCTAGAAGGTCTGTGTTTTGGACTCATGACCCTGGATGCTGGCCTTTATCTCTCACTCTTCCCAGTTTATGGATTTTACCTCCTCCTCAAACTTTCCATGGAAAGGTTAAGAATTCTTGCCCATGAGATTTCAGCTCTAACCGCTTTGTACATTGACTTCCTACAGGCAGAATTGGGTGGGGAATCAGAAAGAAAAGCAGGTGTAGGCTCATTTTTATAGTTCAAATTTAGTTACATCATAGTAGATTTTATTTTCATGAGATTCTAAACATGCTATTTTTGTCATCATCTTTTCAAAATATTTAAACTAAAGATAACCCCCCCCAAGAGAAAAACCTTCTACTTTGAGCTTTTGCCATTATCCATTATAAAAGCCTTGGGAATTTAGTATTTGAAGTTCTGGCCTTTGGATTATGTCTTAGTCAGCTCAGGCTGCCATAAACAAAGTGTCATAGACTGAGAGGGCTAAATGACAGAAATTTATCTTCCTAGTGCTGGAGGCAGGAAGTGTGAGATCAGGGAGCCAGTCTGACTGGGCCTAGGGAGGGACCTCTCTGCCTTGGGAGGGCTGTCTTCTCACTGGGTGCTCACACAACTTCCGCCTTCAGTGGACAGGGAAGAGAAGCAGCTCTCTGATGTTCCTTCCCATAGGGCACCAATCCCATCAGGCCATCTAATCTGACCTCATCTAACCCTATTACTTCTGGAAGGCTTCATCTCCAAATACTACCACATGGAGGGAGGGGCTACAACATGTAAAGGAGGGGGAGGGGCATAAACGTTCAGTCCACCACAGACCATTGAGATTGATTCGCAGCACATGAGCCATATCGTCAGGTCCAGACTTTACTCGGCAAAGTCCTCTGGAAAAAGTTTTACTGCAAAATGCATTCCTTCAGCACCTAAATAACGCAAAAAGCCCTTGAAGAAACACACACACGCACACGCACACACATGCACACACACACACACACACACAGCCCCCTTCCCATGCCCGTGCATCCCGGCCAAAGCTAACTAGGTGTTAAGTTTCTTCTTCAGGCCTCTGGACCCTTGGCTGCTAATGAGCATGAATAGCAAATTAAACAGGAAGAAAGTCATATAACTAAGAAATCGGAAGTTCAGCCTTGGCCAACAAGTATTAATAGCAATGTCATTTAAGAAGCCAGTGATTGCCAATTAGGGTGTGTGTGCATAAGTGTTAAAAGTTTTTATATTTGGAAAATGAAAAATGACCTATTTTCTTCTTAGTACAGACCAAGAAAAATAAAGCTTGAGAAAAATCCTGGCCAGTAAGGGCTTCCTGTAACATGACTCCTAAATCCTTTCATAAGGCCTGTCCCTCTATGGCAGTGGTGGCGAACCTATGGCACACGTGCCACAGCCAGCTGTTTGTCATCATTGAAAGCTTTAAAAGGTTCACCATCGCCGCTCTATGGGATGAGGCAGGATCTCTGGGAGGGGTGGGGTTTTTATGTTTGTTTTCCTGTGGAGATTTTGGGTTGGCTTGTGAAAAACACTTTTGAGAAAAGAATATCAAATTTGTATCTGCTAAATAATTGGCTTTATTCCTAATATGGACTCAGATTTGCTGGATTAAGTCATACTCCACCTTCCTCTATTTTGAAAATTCAAACTACAGGACAATTCCTGGTATTAAACTCTACTTTCGGCTGGGCCTGACAGACTGTGTGTTGAGACTTCTGTTCTAGACCTATTAGGTTGTTCATTTAACAGTTGATTCTTCAGATTATCAGAACTATTAAAAGGTTGAGCCTACCAACCTTTGACAAGTTATAACATATGTCATGTTTTTGAGATGTTTAACTGCTTTTGTTATGTTCCAAGAATCCCTTAAAGAAATATGTATAACCCAGGAGTGATGGTGCACGCCTGTAATCTCAGCACTCGGGAGGCTGAGGCAGGAGGATCACTGTGAGGTCGAGGTCCATCTGGGCTATGTAGTGAGTTCAAGGCCAGCCTGAACTACATAGTGAGACCCTGTTTCAGGAAGGAAGGAGGGAAGGAGGGAAGGAAGGGGGAAGGAGAGAAAGAGAGAAAGAAAGACTCATAAGATTAACTCTTTGATGACAGAAGGATCAACAGTAAAATCTACAAATTTGCTGATCACCAAGAAATATGAGCCAATTAATACATTTATAACTCCTCCTTTACCCAGAACATAAGGAAGGCGATTATCCAGGTGACTTTCTTTCCTTCCTCTGTCTTTAGCCAGCTGATGCAGTGCTACCAGACCCAAGAGGCACAGGCTGAGCAGAAGGGATGGCATTCAGTGTAAGCGTGGCTATAGACTGTCCATGCATGTTTGTTTGTGCATCTGCCTGGGGACAGAGAGACAAAACAGCAGAATGACTGTCCCACTAATGGGAGCGAGGATGGCCTTTTCCCTTGCTGGAGTCATCAAAACCAGTCAGCTCTTGAGAAGACTGCCTGACACCTTGAATATGTAACTCAGAGTTTTTAAATGTCCCATGCTGGTGAGGGTGTGGAGCAAAGGGAACTCTCCATTGCTGATGGGAATGCAGAATGTTAGACACCCTGTGGAAGAGTTTGGCAGCTTCTTAGAAAGCTCGAGATATGCCAGGGATTTAGCTCAATGGCACTGTGTCTGCCTGGCAAGCACAAGGTCCTGAGTTCAATTTCCAGTAATGAAAAAAAAGAAAAAATCTTCAGAAAGCTCGAGATAGTCTTGCCATACAATTCAGCCATCGGGCCTTGTTGTTTACCCAAATGAGTTGCAAACTTTGGAACATCTATACAGTGGAATACTGTTCAGTGATTTTAAAATGAGCTATCAAGCCATAGAAAGACATGATGAAACCTTAAAGGCAAGGTGTTAAGTGAAAGGTGTCAGGGCTGGGCGTGGTGGTGCATGCCTGTAATCCCAGCACTCGGAAGCCTGAGCCAGGAACATCACCACAAGTTCGAGGCCAGGCTGGGCTACATCGTGAGACCTTGTCTCAGAAAAACAAAAAAACAAACAAACCAACAAAACCCTTAAAATTGGAAAGCAAATCATTCAGTTAAAAAATGGACTGGAGTCTTCAACAGACACCTCACCAAAGATGTACTGGTGGCAAATGAGCACTTAAAAAGATGTCCCATATCAGGTCATCAGAGAAATGGAAATTAAAGCAATGAGGTTCCACTGGCCACCTACTAGACTGACCAAAACCCAGGACACTGAGAACCCCAGGAACCAGCAAAGGTGTGGAGAACAGGGGCTCTCATTCTTTGCTGGTGAGAATGCAGAGCCTCTTTGGAACCAAGTTGATAGTGACTTGCAAAACTGAATATATTCTTATCATACAATCTAGCATTCATGCTTAATATCTTTCCAGAGGAGTTGAAAATTTATATCCACACCAGGAAAAAAAAAAACTATTCACAGATGTTTATACCAGCTTTATTCATATTTACCAAAACTTGGAAGCAACCAAGATGTCCTTCAGTAGGTGAATGGATGAATAAACTATGCTACATCCAGACAATGGAATATTGTTCAGCACAAAACAAATGAGCTCTCAAGCCAGGACGAGATGTGGAAGAACTTTACATATTATTCAGGGAAAAGGCCAATCCGAAAAGGTTCCAATCCATCTGATCCCAGCTTCATGACATTCTGGGAAACGTAAATATGCAGGTAGTAGAAGGATCAGTAGTTTCAGGTCTTAGTGGGGTGGGAGGGTTGAATAGACAGCACAGATTTTCAGGGCAGTGGGAATGCTCTCTACGATGCTAGAATGGTGTGTGCATGTCATGAATTTGTTCAAACCCCAGGAGTAAGCCCTGAGATACATAGGGGATGCTGGGTTAATGTGATGTGTCAGGGAAGGGGCATCGGGACAGCAAGCGCCCCACTCGGTAGAGGATGTTGGTAGTGGGGGAGGGAACCGTGCGTGTGTAGGCCCAGAGGAAACAGGGAAATCTCTGAACCTTTCTCCTGCCATTGCTGTGAACCTAAAACTGCTCCGTGAACAATCAAATGTGCCCCAAACAGTAAGTAAACCGCATTCATAGTATGAGAGTAGCAAATGCTGACATCCTGGCCAGTTCCTCTTTAGAAGGCCACCACACCCATTTCTTTCAAGGCTGCTTTGCGCTTAGCTGACACCTTCACCGCAGTGCCGGAGAACTGCCTCAGCTGACCAGAACTGTCTAGCCAGGAAGTGCCCAAGGGGCTGTGTCCACCGCCAAGGGCAGTTTCTGGGCGCACTGGGGCAAGGTACAGAAATCGGCCTTTCTGTCCCCAGACCCTACACCTTTGTGACATCCACACTGCAGCGTTTCCTAGTGGCCGCTAGACGTCAGCCACACACACAGCTGTGCCTGCCTCTTCCCAGCCTGCCTTCCAGAGCTGTCGGAGAGCTTTCTCAGTAGCACCTTGCACAATCTGCTTCTGGAAACCTGCCCAGGGCAGTACCAGGAACAGACTAGAGACAATGGGGTTCTAGTGTCACATGCTGGCCGCGGGGGAGTAAGAGGTCCTTGGCTGGTGTTGGGGAGTGGTGGGGGTCCTGGTCCCAGGCTGCTGCAGGAGCTCCATGGCCCAGACCCTCACCTGGGGGACCTGGTTTCAGACCCGGAGGATAGGGATGCACCCACTGGCATTGCATCTTTAGCATCTGAGAGGGGGAGATGTTATCTCAGGGTGGTGGAATTGGGAGGCCATTGCTCAGCACCCCTGAGTCACTAAGAGAAAATGGCAGGCTCAGATTAGTCACCAATTTAAGGCCCAGTGTGGAGTCAGCAGGCCTCTGAGTCAAGGTCCCGTCCCCAGCTCCTCCCTCAGGGGGAGGCAGCAGGACTCAGCTGGCCTCCTCCTCCATGGGCTCTCAGCGATGGAGACGCCGTGGCAGCAGAATTGGAGTTGTGTGTGGGCCTGGCAGTGTGAGCTCCCTGTCCTCAGGGCCGACCTGGGATGTGACCTGGCTGTCATATCTGTCACCCCTTTGCTTGCCAGTGTTGATCTGGAGGCCCTGACAGGCCAAGTGGGTGTCCCCTTGCCCCTCACTGCCCCATTTGTCTCTCCCGAGCCTCGTGTTCAGGAAGGACGGCCTTCCCCACGAGAGGGACCCTCTTCCTTAGGGCCCAGGAGTAGCTGCGCCTGCCTGCAGGGCCTCCGCACGGCCCTCAGGTACACTTATGGGGGAGCATCTGGCAGTCGGGCTTCTAAGACCTGACCCAGATACCCAGCTGAGGCGCAGTGTGGCAGTCGCCTTTCTTTAAAGCAGACAGACTGACCGAGCCACTGCCACTGCTGAATGTCCCGCTGACAGCAGAGACTGTGAGGGCCAGAGTCCCTTACTCACTCTCCCTTGAGGAAACAAGCTGACCTGTCACCCGGCAAAGAGGCACCATGTGTGATCGATCATGTGAACTGCTTGGATCGAGAAACTTACTCAGTGGCCAGAGGGCTCCGCTGTGGGCACAGGGCACAGGGCCTGCAGTCCTGCCCCCCACACTCAGGCGCTGCCAGCCCCATGGGGCAGTGGAGCAGCGAGCGCGGGTGAGGCAGGCGGGGCACAGTGTAGACCCAGAACCTTGAGGGAGGGGTGCCCACCTTCGGGACACGGCGGCGCGTACCTTGCATCCATGGCGCTGTACGCCAGGGGGCAAAGCCGCTGAGTCCGGGAGCCAGGTGCCCCGTGAATTGTGACCTTGATTTCATGGCTCCTTGTGACCCACATGGGAAACATCCCCGTCCTCGCTGAAACTTTCGCCTCTGTGGACCTAGAGGTCTTGGTTCCCAAGGGGATCGGTTCCACTAGGGACACAGCGAGAGTCCGGCCTAACTTGCATGTGTGTCTGCCCCAGCCTGGGCGGCTGCTCCCAGGCTCTACCTCCAGGCCCCACCTCCCTCCCACCTGTTCCAGATGCCTCCCCTGGGGGCCCGTCTGGCCCCTGGCTGGTGTCTTGCACAGCAATGTCCCAAACTCATCTGGGCCTCAGGGAGCACAGAGAGATGCCGCAGGGGCCCCGGGCAGAGCCCCCTCCCCGCCTGTGTCCCCACTGACTCCTTCTAGTGTGCCAGCTGCTTTCTTTGTCCGCTGGCTGCCGGTGTGAGGACGAGGTGGCAAGGCTGTCAGGCATCGGGGCCAGGGCCAGTTGGGGGAAGGAGGTAGGATTCCCCGTGAGGACTCCCCCGTGGTGGACAGGACAGTCCCACGACAGCCAGGCTGCTGTTTGCAATGCTCCTGGCTCACCAACCTCTCTGGTAGCTGACAGTGAAAATGAACAAGTTTGGCTAATGATATCTTAGTAGCCTGGATTGTGTGGAAATTTTTGAATTCTAGTTTCACTTTTATCTCTAATCTGCAAAGCCTCGGCCATGTCAAGGCTAGATAAAATGAGACTGAGCATCATACCTTGGAGGCAGCAAGCCTGGAACCTGTCTGAGGAGCCCGAGAGCCCAGTCCCTAGGTGGCCACTTCTCAGGTCCCTGGGGGTCTTACAGGTGACCTATGGGACATCTAGTGTGATACATAGGGTTGTGTCTTTGCTTGTTTTGTAGCTTCACTAAAGTAATTTACCTTCAATATTAATATTTTACTATTCAAAGATATTTCATTCACATTTGTATTTTGATAAAGGAAATCAGTTCTAGCAAACAGCCTTCTCTGAGAGTATAGATTATTTTAAATATCTCACCAATTGATTTTAACTATTTTGTTTCCTTTTCTGATTATAAAATATAAAATGATCAGAAAAGATTGTCAAAAATTTAGGAAATACAGAAAAGTACAAATGAAACTGCAAATCAGACAGAACCAGATAAAACCATTTTAATAGTCTTCTCTCAGACTGTGTTTATAGATATGCATTATTTGGGGGGGGGAATAACACTGGGACCACACTGAAGTTTGGGTGGCTTTGTATTTTAGTCTTATTGACAATTTTCCATAAATCTGATGAAATGGATAAGACTTAGACTGAACCCCACTGGACATATTGGCTTATCCTCTACCCCATCTACCTTCGTGCCCATTCCAACCCAGAACATTTGAAGGCAGCTGGGGTTGAACTAGGAAGTATTTTCCCAGTTGTGAAGTTTCTTTGTCCCCAACTCACAGCAGCTCTGAAACCCTAAATCAGCAAATTCTGGCTGGGTGTGGTGGCACACACCTGTAATCCAGCACTCAGGAGGTTGAGGCAGGAGGATCACCACAAATTCGAGGCCAGCCTGGGCTACATAACAAGACCCTGCCTCAAAAAACCCAAATTAAGCCGGGGATTTAGCTCAGTGGTTCCACCGCCTGCCTCCCTCGCAAGCTCAAGGTCCCGAGTTTGATCCCCACTACCAAAAATAAATAAAATAAAATAAAGATTTCTTTAAAAAACAAAAAAACAAAGATTTCTTTTTTAAAAAATTAAATAAATAACTAAATCCACAAACTCAGACTGCCTTGGAAGCGGGTGAGGACTTTGACAAGGAAAATTCACTGGAGGGGAGAAGAAAAAAAAAAAAAAAAAGAAGTGTTCTGTGTTCTGAGAAGATGTGGAATCTGAATGCAATGAATTGAATGCCTGAGAATGACCTGCTTCTCTTAGCCAAGATAGTTGCAAATAAAAGACACTGTCAGGTGTAGACCAGCCTCAGCATCCAAGCTGATACTCTTGGACCCCCAGACAAAAGCTTCTCCTGCAGCCCCAAGCCCCGGCACGCGCTGGCAGGGCCCCCGGAGTGAGCCCGGGGCTGGCAGAAGTGGCCGCAGTGCAGAGGGACTGGGTCTGCAGCAAGGCTCAAGGGTTCTGCTCAGACTCGGGTCTCACAGGCCCAGGCCCGAGTCCAGCTTTGTCTCTGAAGGCGTGACTGCGCCTCTTTGGGCTTCTTAAGCCCTTTTGTCACCTAATTTACACACTGTTGGTTATACCGCACGGTCTTCTCATGGAGGTGAATCTCCTGGGCCTGGGCCTGGATCGCTGTTAGCAGACAGTCATCAGCTCCTAGCGACCCGCCGCTCCTCCCAGGGAAGAGGAGGTGGACAGCCCAGGAACTGCTTTAGGGTGCTCTCCACCCCAACTCTCCAGGTGAAACGGATGCACTTCATTTCGCGTGATAGAGACAGCCCTTCACAGGTTGTAAGGAATAGAGAAAAATCTACCTGGAAAGAAAATAAAATAGCTGGCCCGTTTAAAAATCTGCCTCCGAACTCCAGAATCGACGGCAGTCCCATTACGCCCTCCAGTGGACAGCAATGGAAAAGGCATGATTTTGTCTTCTGAATCTGTAATTTACCAAAAAAAGTGTATTCGGAAGATATTCAATTCATCTAAGCAAAAGAAAAACTTAGACTTCTTAGAATGTTTACTTTAAATGCTAAAAGTAGATTTCCTAAACTATGTGGGCTGCTTCTTATGTGAGCTAAGGGAAAGAATACTCGCAGCCCCCGGCAGCAGCATTTTCTTGGCTCGCCTTCCCCGACAACACTGTCTAATTGGGCCCCGGGGACTCTGGGCGCACCTGCCCAGCACGCTGCTGCACCGTGGCTAGGACCCGTCCTTCCGTGCATTTGCCAAGAATGCACCTGTTGCTTACTTTTTTTTTTCCTATAATGAAGTAATTAAATATTTATCAAGGTCCCTGTGGCTCCTGCGGAGAAACTCTTCAGGGTTCCTGCAATTACTATCAACAATAACAAGTGTTACTCTCTACATTCCAGGCATTTTATTTTATCAACACCTGAGCTAATCCTCATACCAACACTACAAAATAGAGGTTATTATCCGGGTTTGAGAGATAAGGAAACAGATGCTCGCAGAGGCTAAGTGACTTCCAGGGTCACACAGCTGCCCGGTCGGTGGCAGCTGGGCCGAGGCTTCGATCGCCCCTCATCCAGGCGCCTGGGGCTGCCAGACCCGGGTCTGAGGTTCGGGAGCCTCGGTGCCGCCAGCTCCTCCGTTCCCAAGGCTCAGGGCCCGAGGCGGGACCGCAGAGGTGTGGCCCCGGGCGGTGACAGAATAGAATACCAGGTGCCGGGGCGGGGAGGGGCCCAGGCCCGCTCCCTCCGTCCGCTCAGGCTCAGGCGGACCTCGAGCCCGCCCCGCTCACGCCCTGCCCCGCAGGACCCAGCAGCACAGCGGGGCGCAGCCCCACCCCGCGGACCCCGTCACCCGAGGCGCCACGCACCCTGCGGCGGGGCGGGAACGCGTCGGCCCCGGGCTCTGGCGGCTCCGGGCGCTGAGGCCGCCCGCAGGGGGCGCTGTGGTGCCGCCAGCCCGTTCCCGTCCGCGCCCGAGCCCGCGCACCCGGCAGGTTCCCCCACACACCCCGCGTCCCCGCGGGCGTTAGGGTCCCAGCCCGGCCGCGGGCTCCCCCGCCACAGCAGCTCCCTGCAGCAGGCCGGGCCTGAGTTCTGAGCCGGCGCTCGGCCGGGCGGGGCAGCTCCGTCTGCTGCCTTCGGCCGGGGGAGCCGTCGCGGGCTGCAGACCTGTGACCCCTCGGTCCCCATCCCACCCCAGGCCCCTGTACCCTGCGGGGTGGCGGGGATCCATCAGGTCTGTCACTTCCTGCGCTGTCCCAGCCGGTGCAGGCCCGGGCCGCAGCCTTATCTTCCGGGAGTCCTCTAATCCGGGGTCCCCCTGGCCCAGAGCAAACGGGAGGATCCCGAGGCAGGCGTTGCCCGGGTGAGGTTAGCGGGACCACGCTGCCCGGGACGCTGCCCGCGGCCGGGGACCGTCCTCCTCGCCCAGGCCCGACCCGGCCCCTTCTCTCCCAAGGCGCCTCCAGGCCCGAGTTCCTCCCCGCGGCCACCCGGGAAGGCGGCGAAGGCGCGGAAGACCTGGAGCGGGACAGCAGCGCGCTGAGTGTAACTGTCCCCTCCCCGCCCGGTCCTGTCCCCGGCCGCCCCTGCCCCCTGCTCCTCCCTCGCCCTCCCCTCCTCTCGGGAGCCCCCACGAGGACCTGGCCTAACCCAGGGAGCTGGGGCCTGGGCCCTCCCTCGTCCCTGTCACCTTGGCCACGCGCTGGCTTCTGGTCGGGTGGGGCTGGGGTCCCCGGGAGGCCTGGCCAGGCGGACCCGGACCCGGCCGGCTCTGAGCTGCGCCCCCCCCCCGCCAGCTCTCGGGACTTTTCCAGTTGGATGACAGCCCTGAAACGGGTTGCTCCAGAGCTGTGTCCCTGGAGACCGGGAGAGGAAGCACCGAGGGAGAGAAAGAACGTGCTGAGGGGGAAAGGTGAGCACGCAGGAGAAGGAAAGCAGCTGGCTGCTAGCCTGGCCTTCTCTGACCTTCTTCCTGGCGTTTCAGGGCACCGAGCAGCGCCGAGGAGGAGCAAGCGGGCATCCAGCCCCCCACAGTGCTGACGAGGCCCTCAAGTCCCAGCGTCCCCTCTCCTGAGAACTGACCCTTGTCACCACCATCGCTCCAGCCTGGCCAGGCTGCCCTGCCATCCGCCTCCTAGGGCCAGGCTGCCGTGGTGCTGCAATCGCGCCCTCCTTCCTCAAGCGGAAAACAGCCCACAGCTCAGCAGCCGTGGATGTGCAGCCCCAGGAAGGGCCCGGGGAGCCCCCAGGACAGCCCACGGGCTTGTAGCTCCTGACCTTGGAGGGCCAGATGTGCACTGTGGAGGCTCAGACGTGTGGCAGCAGCCCGGGCCTCTACCACAAGATATCAGTAACAAACCACGCCATGTCCGCCTTCCCACCCCCAAACTGTGACAATCAAAACCTGCCTTCAACCTGCCAAAGTCCCCTGCGGCTGGGCTGGGACCCACTCAGCCAGGCCAGAGAATGCACATGTGCTATTGTTAGGCCGAGGCGGTCTGGGATGTTCGCATATAGATTTCTAAATTTTTTTATTATTTCAGTTATTTTCAGTTATTTTTTGTTTTAATTTCTTTGTTTTCACTTGTTTTGAGGTTTCCAGTTATCTAATTTTATACCTTTAGTTACTTTTTAAAAATAATTTAGTTTTTGGTTTTCATTTTTCAATTATTTGTTTCTTTCAAGAGTCACAGATTTTCAAATTAATTAGTTTACAATTATTTATTTTTAAGAATGTATCTTTATAGTTACTAATGTCTGAGTTTTTCTATTTTTAGTTATTGGAGTTCTTGAGTTACTTTTTTTTAGTTACTTGACTGAAGCTCATTGGAAGATTTTGAAATACTGTAGAGTTATTTTAAAAGCGAGATGTTCTTAGTTACTTCAGGTTTTTTCTTCTGAGTTATTTAGTATTAGAGTTACTTATGGTCACAAGTTTTTTAATTCAGTCATTTTAGAGTCTGGGTTTTTTACACTCATCTATTTATTATTTATTTTGTGTTACTTGGTTTTTAATTACTTCATTTCCAAGGTTCATTTTCCAACATTGTGTTCTGAATGTTTTATGTTCAGAGTCTGAGGCATTCCAATCTTTCCGTTACTTTCAGATTTCCTTAGCTATATTGCTTTTCAGTCTTTGTCATTTAAATATATTCTCTTCTTTATTTTCACATATTCTATTCAGATTTATTTTCAGAGTTATTTAGAATTAGAATTACCTAGTATATCCACCAGCTCGCCGGAGAGACACTAGAACACAGGTGTTACTAGAGGATTCAACAAAAAGAACTGTACTCCTGCTGCTGGAGATTTTTAAGAGAAGAAGTGAACTGGGGGGATCCTGGAGATTTTACCTCAGGAAGCAGCCACCGTGCCAGAGGCAGGGGAATGAAAGGCAGAGGCTGGGTTCTCCAAAGTCAGACCCCTGGGGGTCGCGGTGGCCCCGAGGCTGGGCTCGTACGGTGAGGAGGCACTGGCCACGTGCAGGTGCCTCTGGCTGGGGTCTGGGTGTCTGCAGGGGCACAACAGGGTGTTGACAGGAGAGCCGGAGGCTGGCAGGACCCATGGGGCACCTGTCTCCCCTCCTCTCTTCCACCCTCCGCAGAGGAGGAGCCAGGGAAGTTCTGGGCTCGCTCACCAGCACCTTTACCCCAGTTCTAGAGTTGGTTTTGATTTAGTGTGTTTGGAATTTTTATTTTTGTTTCTTTTTTAGGGGATGGAGTTGAGACAGAGTCTTGCTATGTATCCCAGGCTGGCCTTGAATTTATGGCAGTCCTCCTGCCTCAGCCTCCTGAGTACCAGGATTACAGGTGTGCACCACCACATCCAGCTGTGTTTGGAATTTTTAGGGGTGATCTGACTTTGCGTTTTCCCTGGCCGTGGCCAAGTCTTTAGTCTCGGTTGTTTCTGGAGTGGTGTAGCCCAACAGACCCTGAAAGGACTCTCCCCTGTGAATTCGAGGGAACCACTTTAGAATTCAAGAAAACAAAAACAATATGTCTCACTGGGTTCACAACAGAAGGTCAGAGGCCAAAAAGGAATGGAGATTCAGGGACAGATGTCAGGGGAGGCCTCGGGACCTCTGTCCCTCGCTCCCGCGTCAGGCTTTGCTGCAGACCCGGCCTCTCCCACATCCTTTGCTACAACACAGTCTTTCCTGATAATGTGTGTTTGAAGTGTGTAGACTCTTTGCACAACAAAATAAAGTTCCTCCCACAGCTACAGTCTGTCCCCCAGGCTCTT